TCTCATTCATTGCTGTCCATCATACTAGTTGTTCGCAGAACAATACAGGTTTCACAGTCGCATTGAATGCCCAATGGGTTAGATTGGATGACCGGTCCCACGTATTGCTCAGCATATTTTTATATGTATAAAGAGCGACATACGCCGTTTTCATCCTCTCCTCCACATTTGCATTGTATTTTTTATTTTATTTTTTTATTGTTTGCACTTCCAGGTATTTCGTGGATTTTAAGGATTTTCGGAATTTTTCCGTCTGTATTTCCTACTAGGACAACTGCTTATGTTGGTGACACCTAGCGACTGCGAGTTGCTAACTCTTCTAATTATTACTGGACAACCTTTGGCAAATAGCTATTAATGTCTCGCAGTGGCTCTCAAAGCTCGCTGTATAGACAAGCCGGCAACCGACTGTCCATGACACAGTTTGAAAGCTAGTGATAGGTACACTGGTAGCAAAACTGCTCTTTTGGGATCAAAATACAATACCGAAATCGGTTAGGGACTAAAATATAAATGATTTTATTAATTTAGTATACAAATTACAAATATACAGCAATATACGTTCTCTGTTTGACAGTTTCCACGCTGATTCGTTCTTGGACCTTCTCTATAAATATACGTTCTCTGGGTCCTCTATAAATATACGTTCTCTGTAAATATACGTTCTCTGCTACCGGTGGTACAGGGTGAGAACCCGTGTGTATCACCCTGTACATTCGGTAGTCCATTCCAGTGAATTCCGCTAGCAAGCGAAATGTGCGCTCATATGGTGCTGTGTATGTTCGGTTTCGATAAAGAAAAAAGTCAACTAATTTGACGTTCCTCTTTGACCCCAAAGCAACCAGGCGATAAATGTACGCTGATAACGGAAACGCTGAAAATCGTATAAAAATTCTCTGCCGCCGTTACGAGACAAAACGTCAGTTGAGAAACAAATGGCGGATCGATTGTAAGCAAAAGCGGATCAAGTGGATGCTGAACTTAATGGAATTTTCGGGCAGTGCAAAAACATATCCACAGAGTGAAAAATTAGTAAATTCTAATTAAAAACATGAAATTAAGTAGGTATCAAATTTATAGTGCACAATTTCCGTTGAAAACTCAATGGCGAGTAGTGAAAATTTTCGCAAAAAATGTGAACATCGGGGCAGAGGTGTAGATGGCTGTAAAATTGCATAAAGTGCAAACGGATAATGGAAAAATATGTGATACTTGTGGATGACGAACAATGGAATAGAATTTATGCTAAGTTGGTTGGAGATTAGCCAGTGGGGGGTCTTTTGGAAATCTTAGGGCTAAGCAAAAAAGCAAGAATACAACATTTGAATGCAGGTTTAAGAATTTCCGGGATTATGAAGATTGGCCCATTTTTAACAAAGGCAAAGACGCACATATGTGTAGAGCGTTGTTTGTTGGGCTACTGGCTGCCCTAGCAGAACAAATTTTCTAATAAATTACATATTTCGCTAAAACAAGGTCCAGCGAACTCACTTTTTCTTTAAAACGAAATTAAATAAAAGCATCGACCGAAAATTTGCAAATTAAAATTTTTTCTTCTAGTTGTGTTTCCACCCACTTTCGTATTTCTGCTTTTTCGCGCACACCTTGCTTTGTGCTGCGTCTTCTTCGTCTTTTCATTCATGATTCTTGACTTCTACTTTTTCCCCGCTTTTGTAGCTGTTTTGCTCGTATTTCTCCTTGGCATTCGCCAATTGGATTTTTCAATGTTGCCCAGTCGGTTCTCGAGTATTTTTCGCTAGGCGCCCAACGCAAAAATCTTATCGGGGATTTTTTAATTTTATTTCTTTGCTTTGAGTGCTAAAAATAAAAGTGTAGCGATTATATTACGGAAATAACCACTTAATTATGTATATGCACGAGTAAAACTATGATAGATTTAAAATAATTGTGACAGATTTGCGTTACAGCGGACTTGTGTAGAAATTTCATAAATGAAATGTGTGAAAAGCAGCAATTAAATGCAAAAAATTCTGCATATCCTTAAAGCTTCCAATTTTTATGTGTTTTTATTTGATCCAAGTGCATAAGTTTTCAAAAACGCATATAAAAAGCCGAAAGTATCCGGCTAGTAAAAAACGCATATAAAACGCAACCGCCTACCAGCTGCGTAAACCGTAAACAGTATACAAAGGTGCGGCCTCGTCTGTGCTCGCTACAATAAACACAAAGAAAAGACTGCAAGTCATCAGCTACTACCAGTCGGTCGAGAAGCAACAGCGTTACCCCCGCTCCAATAACACATAAAGGTAAGTTTACTTCGTTACAAATCGGGAAGTGCTCCTTTTATTTCTCGCAGTTCTGCAATATTTTCTTTGCATGGCATTTTCTAGGTAATTAATGTTTTCTTTTGGCGGGAACTTCTTTTCTCCTACATAAGTAATTTGAGTTTGCATCAAATGCCTAACGCATTTATTGGTGTGCAAATATTTAGAAATTGCATGGTTTCGTTACACTGCCACAATGTTGAGTTGAATCTCCTTGATTGGTAGGTTGTTCAGTTGGGTCCTTACATGAGGAGATTTAACAAGCAAATCTTAGTTAAAAACAACCATAGCCTGGTGTAAACGGTCTTTCCACTAATCGCTTTCAACGAAGTTGGTGAGCATCTTTTGATTGAACTAATCGCTTATATTTTTCTTTTGTTTATTTAAAGTTTATATATATTTTTTTTTTACCAAAGTCGAGCACTACCTAACAAGCGTCACATATGTAAATCCACATTTCAAACTTCGTACATAAATTATGAAAATTCAACAAACTTTAACATTTGCACCCGTAATTTTTAAAAATTTGGGTATGCAGTTTATTGCAGTTATTTGTAGGATAAAGTGCAAATTTCTAGACTCTGGAAAATCGCGTTGATTGTGTTGTACATTTTCTTCTTAATAAAATATGCTCGACACCATCAGCAATAAAAATTATTAAAAATCAACGCGATTTTCTAGCGTCTTGAAATTTGCACTTTAGCCTACTAAAATTTTATGAGCAACAAAACTACATAGGTACCCAAAATAAATAAAAAGTTTAAAATTTTTGGGTGCAAATGTTAAAGTTTGTTGAATATTATTAATTTTTGTACGAAGTTTGAAATGGGAATTTATGTGGCGCTGGTTAGGCAAAGTGCCAAACTTTTATAAAAAAGAATATAAACATTAAAATTAGCCAAAACTAGTCAAAATGTCACTTGACTTAATCAGCTGACCGCAAATGTATTTCCAGAAGGAATTATGTATAAAAATATTCGATGCTCCTTGTGGAATGTCTTCCGTAAACGTACATTAATCCACTTTACAGCTGCTGAAACTCTTTTTTTCGCTATTTTACCTAAAAACAAGTTTTGCCAGTTTGCCGATTTCGTATTCCAACGGGCGCTGGGAGCAATAGCGATTTCGTTTCAAGTTTGACATGAAAAAAAAAAAACATAATTTAAAAGCAGTAGGTAAACAATTTGAAGCAAGCAGAAGAAAGCAAAGAACTTGAATATGCCGCAAGCAAAGGAGGGAAAAGTGTGTGATAATGAAAATGAATAAAAATAAAAAAAGAATATAAAATCGCCTTTGTAAATGGAAAGAAAGTGTGCTTGAACTAGTCGTTGCTTACATTATTTGAAGTAGCCGATGTAGCTTCTGAAGCCAGCCAGACCAGATACTTGAGCATCTCAAATGACACACTAACAGCTACTGGCCTGGCTGTAAATTCTAAAGTAGCCTCAGCAGTTACAAAGAAATTTCAATTAAGTCAAACCCAAATAGCAGTCAAGTTGGAAACGTGAATAAAAGTTTAGTATGTACATACATTAGAGTGGTCCAAAATAATAAAGTCGGAATTTTAATGCCGCCACCCCCTAGGATTGTTCTGAACTGAAAATAAATATACCCCTATTTTTTATTTTGAAATCAAAAAATATTTAGGGAGTGCTCACAGCGCTCAAAGTTTTCCATGTATTTTATATGGGGGAAAAAAAAATTTTCGTAAAAATGGTATAAAACTCTTGAAAATCAATATTTTTCAATCGTAAAACTGTGGTTCTCTTCAGGAGACTTCCAAATATTAATATCCAATTGATTATTTAACCATTATTATGATAACGGATTTTTTATTGGTCCCCCCATAGCATTTTCTGGCACCTATAAAATATAATTACCATGAAAAAATGGTTAAAGGAACAATTGGGTATTATTACTGGGAATCTCCTGAAGATAAGCAAGAATTCTACACTATTTTTTTCGAAAAGTTGTTTTTTCCCCATATAAAATACATTGAAAACTTAGAGCGCTTTGAGCACTCCCTAAATTTTTTTCATTTTAAAATTAAAAATAGGGGTATATTTTTTGTCGGTATAGAATAATCCTAGAAGGTGGTAGCATTAAAAATGCTACCTTATTTTTTTACATACATTTTTGGACCACTTTAATGCACATACATGTGCGCATAAGTACATAGCAGATAAATGAATATGTTTTATTGTTATTTTCTTCATTATTTACTGTGCCGTGACATTCAAAAGAAAATTCGCAAAAATAATATCGGTATATAGTATAGAATCGCCTGTTCGTCTCACGAATTCCCAGGCTAAATGGCCCAGACAAAGTGGATGTTACGTCGCCCAGCGACGCTATTCAATGGCATCCTTGACTCGTTCCTTTCAAATGTTGTTGCTGTTGCACCGGCTACTTAGCCCCGCCTAGATTCAAGCTGAGTTGAATTGGCATGTGTGTGCATGTGCGTTTGGTGTCGTGAGGGCAACTTTGCCATTCAGGACATAATTTGGATAAGTCGGGGTATAGTCTGGACGATTAGAATTTAACCGCAGCACACTTTATTCTACAATCCAGGTGGTGATTGTGCTGATCTGTCATATCCTTAGCACCCTATTTGAAAATGATATTGTTTGCCACTCATTTACTAATTTGCATTCATTCTCTAATCTATATGAACCCATGTTTAAAAATTTGTAGAAAACTAAACAAAAAATTCAACAAATTTTCAGCCAAATTTCAAACTTTTTTCGCAAAAGTGTCCACAGTTTTTTAAGTACACAGTTATATAGCCCATTCAGTTTTGGTCCAATAAAGTGGAAGTTTCTAGTGGCTAATAATTATCGTTGATTTTTAATGATTTTTAATTTTTTAATACTAGCATTCTAGAAAATGAATATCTACGCAACTAAAAAGTGCTGCTGTGAGGAATGAGTAACAAAAAAAAATGATAAAATTGCGCTATGTTTATAGCCGCCGTGATTGAATTCAATTTGTTGGAAAAAAAATTTCAATTTCATTTGAAGCTAAAACATCAACAACACAAATCCTAAATCACCAAATCACATTTAATGCGATTTCTAGAGAACCCAACGAAAAGTTACCCGAGTGAACCAAGCCAAGCAAACACCCAGCGGCGCGTCTATTTGCGCAACAATTGCTAGCTTGGGACTAGACAAGTTGCATGAGGCGCTTTACATACATACATTAGTACATGTACATATGTAAGCAGGGGGCGTTTGCACATGCCAGCCATACCATAACCATACATGTGTGCTTCCAGCTGAAATTGCGGCTACCAGCTGATGTCGCGACGACGAACGCGCAGCGGCAGTGCACACAAATATAGGACGGGGACGACGACGCACACGAATTTAATGAGGAATTGAATTCATATTTTTCACTTTATGGAACAGCGTTGAGCTGCGTTGGGTGGCATAACGCGTTTAGTGTGTGTGGGTGCATGCGGCAGATGATGCGAGTGAGGTGAAAAGGGAGGAGCTGCGGTGTACATAATCGAAAAAATTTAAATTTTTTAGCTTATTTGACAGTTGAGGCGTTCAGCGGTGTGGGTGGAGCGGAGCCCTCCTAAAGTGTCTACTTTGTTGTTCTTTTTTTGTGATTTTTCTGGGACGTCTTCTTGTCTTGCCTTTGACTACTCCAGTTTTTGACAATGTGCGTACATATGGTTTATCGAATTCAATACAAAATTGTATAATAGCTGACGGTCTACTTGTCAGTCTCCTTAATGTTTGCCCTGCTCTGTATGGTGTCTTATTTATACTTGACGATTAGACAATTTATGTATGCATGTAGCGATATTCTTCGTCTTAGGGGGTTTGAGAGGTAGGGGCGGATTAATGTGAAATAAGAAAGAACTTACCAAAAATAAGTTGACCAAATTATAAGAAAAAAGCGCACTTAAAACTCCCAGAAAATACGCAAAATCCCCCACGAAAAATTTTGAAAAATCAACGGTAATTTTTAGCGACGTGAAACTGCATGTTCAAAAATTAAAAAAAAAAAAAATCCGTATAAAAAAGTTTTAAGTTTGATTAATTTCTGTGAATTTTGTGCAATCTTTACAACGTTTATTTATGTGGTTTCTGTTGTAGACCGAAGTATATACATATAATTTAAATGAAAATTATTAAAAATAAATTAATAAACATCAGTGGAAAGCAACACAGTTCTGAATTTTGGTGCTATTATTTTGACCGCTACTGTACATGCACCTACAGTGCTGGAAAATAAATACGCATTTGACATTTTAACAAATATATATTAAATATTTTCCTTTTGTTTATTCAATATTTATAATTTTTTCATAAAAGCAAACCATATATGTAAATATATTTCAAACTTTGTGCATATAAAAATTCTGCAAAATACCAATCTAAATTTTCAACTGCTCAATCATATTTTCGAAGTTGCTAAAAAATCGCGTTGATTTTTGATAATTTTTTTCTGACTGTATTACGCATTTTTTCGATACATAAGAAAATGCGAGAAAAAATCAATGCGATTTTTTAGCAACTTAGAAGTTACACTTCATTATACTGGATAATACTTAGTATAATACAGAATTTTCGTAATTTTTGCACAATTTTTGAAATATGAATTTATAATTTTAGATAATGACCTGCTATAAAAAAAATAATAAACAAAAGAAAAGTGACAAAACTTTTTAAAATGTCGCGTTCCTATTTATTTATCCACCACTGTATTTATGTTTTTCCAAAAACAATGTCATTCATTATTTGCCTTGCTACTTTTTATGAATATTTCTCGTCGTTTGCTTACCTATCGCCCTATTATCATGCAGCTCAAATTGCTTTTACCCTTCGGTGAAATAATTACCCCACTGCGTTTTCTTGCAGCTGCGCAACCCACATATTAACACCATTATCATTTTCCACCCTGAGCTTAATTGCTTAGCTTAATTGCTTTTCGTTTTCAACATAGTAGTACTTTCCAACCCTTCAGAG